ACGCACGCACACACGCACGCACGCACGCACGCACACACACACGCACACACACACACACACACGCACACACTTTTGACCTCTGTCAAACATGGAATCAGTGCATATACAGTAGAAATAAGGAGCATTTGGAAAACTGTACACATTTTGTTGAATGTTAATTTTTTCAGATGGTGTATTTGACTTATGTCACACACTCACACATACAGCACGCACAAACATGTAAACACTTTCCTGGACAGAATGTTCATGAGAACGTTTGGCTACCAAAGATGAGTCTCCCGGATCTCTGAGATAATGTTACTGGCTTTCTTGAGCGCCTAAAGGAGGAGACAGAAGAGCAGCATTAGTAACACAAAGCAAACTGCATAAAAACCTGTTGGTTTGGGATCCTAAAGCACCTAATAACTAGCAGTGTTGGGGAATATAGAGCTAAAATTATGTAACGACTAACTTTACTACGTTTTTTGTTAACCTGCCAGCAGCTCAGATTTTTTAATTTGTTGCTACTTTTTGTGCTATTTTTATTGTTGCTCAGAAATGATTATGATTAATAATTATTAAATAATTATTAAAATAACAATACATTATTATTATTATTATTAAAATAACAAATACTTTTGTAGAGTCACTTAGTTTCGATTTCTTATACTATATATTTAATTTAAAAAATGTAAAAATATTTTTAAAAATTAATAAAAATAACTGGTTTATCTTATTTCTAAGACCAGTGTAAATGTGATTTTTGTGTAGATGTAATTTCAGTTGGTTAAGAATAAATTTTAGTGCAACCTTCTCATGAATCATGATTTCTGCATGAAGCCTTTCAGTCACACTTTAGTTTAGGGACCAGTTCTCAATATTAACTAACGATTAACTACGTCTTTTGCCTCAATAAACTCCTAATTTGCTGCTTATTCATAGTTAGTATGGTAGTTGTTAAGTTTAGATATACGGGAAGTCTAATAACTACTAATAGTCTAATAACTACTTATTTAATTAATAGTCTAATAAGTACTAATAAACAGCCAATATGCTAGCAATATATGCATGCTAATAAGCAACTATTTAAAAGTGAGAATTGGTCCTTAAAATAAAGTGTTACACTTTCGTATGCAATTTTTACACGAACACAAAGTTAGTGTATGAGACTCATTGTCTGCTAAAATAGCTTCATTATAGAGATATATTTTTATTAGCTTACTAACTACTTGTGTATAAAATGTTTAACTACTTTAAACTACAGTCCATTAATTATGAGAAGTTTGTAGCCTGACAGTCTGCAGTTTCAAAGAAGCTCCCCAACACTAGGCGCGTTTCCATTACAGACCTGGAGCGCGGCCACTTATGAAGTGTTTCTTGGAGGTTATAGTACGTTGAAGAATGATCATATGACTTTTTACATGCGCCATGTGACCTGTAAATGCGAAAAAGCCGTTTCCATTGCAGTTTTGCGAATTATTCCTTTTTCGCATTGCCTGAAAAACCACCTCATGCGAGCGTAAAAACTTTTTTGCGACATATGGGAATTTTTGCGAAATTGACGCGTTTCCATTAGGCGTATTTTCAATTCGCAATTTCAATTTGCGCAATTTGAAGGGTAATGGAAACGCGCCTACTGACAGTTAATATGGTTGAATGTTTGTTGAAGACATACTGTGCACACAGAACACATTACTGTGCCCAAAGACAGAAAGATGTAGCATAAGAGAACAGAATGCAAGGCTGACATTAGACGATGACGCACGCAGCATTAGCTATAGTGCGTCAGAACGCCCGCCACACACCAGCTATCAAGTGCAATGGATTGGAAGAGGAGTCTCGGTTTTAACAGTCGGACTACTATTAACTTGCCATGGCATCTGAAACTGCCTCGATGTGTATGGCTGTTGAGGCGGTGCTTTAGATGGGATGGATTTATAGACAACTTTTACGAGAGAACAAACAGCCTAACGACTAAAGCACAGCAGCCTCTCAGCATGTGAATCTGAGAGGACAAAAATGAAAACAAAAGAGGAAAATGTCTGCGGAACAAAAGAAGGCTTACGATAAGGCAAAAAGTAGGACCCGTGTAAATTTCGGATCAGCTTTCCAGCGCTGGAGAGAACTCAAGGAGCGGAAGGCCTGCGATCGGACGCCGAGGTTGCTTTGTTTCTTCTCGATAGGTGAGTAACACCATGTCAACACCGAACGCGCTGCAACAGCTAAAGCCTTTCTACACTGGAAGCGATAGAGACCGTTGAAAATCATTAGAAATTTGTGTCAACACGTCATAAATAGAACGCAACAGCAGTTTTCAGTTGGGGATTTGTCGTGCCTCACCGCACCGCATCCAGTGTAGACAGCATCACTGATTATAATGAGTTCTATGGTATTCTGTCGCGCCGCTCGCGTCCGGTGTAGACACGGTGTAACATGTTTTGCTTTGTTTCACAGAACTAATCATTGCCTGGGTTGCGTACGTATATGTGGGGC